TTTTTTCATTTCATCATGTTTTTGTTTACATAATTTACAGGGTCAATACCAAAACAAATTGGAAATTGTACTTCCTTGAAGAAATTATTCCTTTTCGACAACAATTTGACAGGTATGAGCTATTTTTGTTTGATTTCATGCTAATTCACCATTTCTTTAGCAAATGACAAAATAACTATAACCATTGACCTATTTATGGTCTTAGCATTCACTAAAATTTGACTTAACAATGATGCAGTAGTCTTAATTAATTAGGATAAACAAAATTAGAAAATGACAAGTGCGGTGTACGTCGAGGAATATATATATTTTTTTGGTCATTAGTTTTTGTTATAATTATGAAAAATAAATATTTTATTTAACATGCCATTTTATAAGTATATCATTCCAAACTAGGTTAATCAAAATATGAAATTACGAAAAGTGTGTAATGAAATAAAATACGTAACATAATAGAACACAAAAAGCAAATTAAAGATCTATGTAAGGTCCTAATGTAAATTTTAAATGCATTCATCTCTCTTTCTTTATATCGGTTGTTGGAGTTAGCTTATGATCTTCTATTCATACATTTCTATTGAAAACAATCGGTTGTCTCAAAATCTTTGATTGCAAAAAGACTATATTTTCATCTTTCATTGTCTTATAAAACAATATTTGGTAGTTGGTTCTATTCATACTGATAGTTACAGATAAATAGATAGTCCATTTATGTTGGTTCTGACTACATGACTGAAGCCATGAAGAGATGATTGTGATGTACAACAACAGGTAATTTACCACAAGAGCTGAATAAGTTGGCATTCCTTGAGGAATTAAACGCAGACAACAATCACTTGTCAGGTCCAATCCCACCATGGATCTTCAACATATCAACCTTGAAGATTTTAAGTCTTTCAGTTAATCGTTTCTATGGAATTCTTCCCCTCTCTCCTGAGCTCTCTCTTCCAAATCTCAAAGAATTGTCTTTGTGGAGCAATGAACTCAATGGGGAGATTCCGATTTCTATCACCAATGCTTCTAATTTATATAGATTGGAATTGTCAAATAACTCGTTCAGTGGCCCCATACCAAACTTGGGCAAGTTAAGGCTCTTACGTACGCTTTACATTTGGAATAATTCTCTAAGTGGATTAGGATTAATATCTTCATTAGCTAATTGCCGTTTTTTGGAGCACTTAGTGATATCGTTCAACCCACTTAACGGCGTCCTCCCTGATTCCATTGGGAATTTATCAAAATCTCTTACAATGTTTGGGGCACATGGCTGCAACATTAATGGAGTTATTCCTTCTACCATCGGAAACCTGATTGGTCTGCAACTTTTAGACTTATCAAAAAATCAGATCACGGGACTTATCCCTCCAACAATAGGGAAATTATATCGGCTTCAAAGATTAATTCTTTATGTCAATCAACTGCATGGGTTTATCCCTCCAAATATTTGTGGGATGAGTAAGATAGGTGACTTGTACCTTGAAGAAAATAACCTCACAGGTCCCATACCTGAATGCTTAGGTGAGCTTAAATCTCTAAGAAATGTCTACTTAGGTTTCAACAAGTTGAATTCCAGCATACCTCTCAACTTTTGGAATTTGAAGGACCTTTTGTTTCTCAACTTGTCCTCAAACCGTTTGAGTGGTCAACTTCCGTATGAAATTGCAGGTTTGAGACAACTATCTCAACTAGATTTGTCCCATAATCAATTTTCAGGAGACATTCCTAGATCTATCGATGGTTGCGAATCATTAACGTTTCTAGATTTATCGGACAACAAATTTGAAAGATCCATTCCTCCATCACTGGGGAATGTCAGAGCTTTGATGGCACTGGATTTATCTAGTAACAATCTTTTGGGGCTGATACCTCAGTCCTTAGAAGGCCTCAAATTACTTCAATACTTTAATGTGTCTTACAACAAATTGGAAGGAATGATTCCCACAGGTGGCCCATTTGTTAACATTACTGCTCAATCTTTTTTTCAAGACTCTGCTCTTTGTGGAGATCAAAGATTTCAAGTGCCTCCGTGCATTGGGAATAATCTCAAGAACTCTAGACTGAAGAAAGTTGGTCGGCTGATGAAGTATATTGTGCCTTCATTCATTTCAGTGATCGTATTAACAGCCATAATACTATTTGTGTTTGTGAGGACACGAAAACCAAAAAGAGGGCTTGCTCCTATTGATGATGTTTCACTTGGTGTTACTTGGAGACGAATCTCATACGTAGAACTTGTCAGGGGAATTGACGCCTTCAGCGAAACAAACTTACTTGGAAACGGCAGCTTTGGTTCTGTTTTCAAAGGGGTGCTTTCTGACGGACTAAATGTTGCAGTGAAAGTCTTCAACTCACAATTAGAAAGGGCTATCCGCAGTTTTGATACGGAATGTGAAATACTTAGCAGTATTCGACATAGAAACTTGGTCGAAATAATTGGTTGTTGTAGCAACACAGAATTCAAAGCTTTGGTTCTCGAATTCATGCCAAATGGCAGCCTCGAGAAATGGTTGCACTTGGAAAACTGTGTCTTGGATTTGATATCAAGGCTGCAAATTGCAATAGATGTTGCATTAGCCTTGGAATATCTTCATCATGGCCATACATTCCCTGTCGTTCATTGTGATATAAAACCGAGTAATGTGTTGCTTGATGAGGATATGGTTGCCCACCTTTGTGATTTTGGGATAGCCAAGCTCTTTGATGATGGGAAGAATAGTGTTCTTACGAAAACCTTGGGGACAGTTGGTTACGCTGCACCAGGTAACACTTTTAATATAGAATACTTAATTCCTTAGGTGTTATTATCTTTCTTTTCATTTCTTTATTCCTAATTTTCCGTTTCATTCTATAGTATTTTACATAGTGGGTCAAATTGAAAAATCTAAACTAATCGAACGATAATGTTGCGCTTGTGATACAATTAGAGTATGGATCAGGAGGCAGAGTGTCAACAAGTGCAGACGTTTATAGCTATGGCATACTGTTGCTGGAAATGTTCACGAGCAAGAAGCCGACTGATGATATTTTAAATGAACAGATGAGTTTGAAGGAGTGGGTATGTGAAGCAATACGAGAAAATACAGTTGCAGAACTTGTGGGCCCTAATTTGCTAGCAAGTGACGATCAACATTTTCATGCAAAGGAAGAATGTGTCTCCTCTATCTTTGGCTTGGCAATGAGATGTCTAGCTGCTATGCCCGATGAAAGGATTAACATGGTGGAAACAACAGCTACATTGCAGAGGACTAAAGCCAAAGTTGTGGCTGACACTACAAGTCGTCAACAATATGCATTGTCCATTATTTCAAGACAATAGGTATTGATATGTAATAGGGCATGGTCTCCAGTACTATATTACAGTGTGAAATAAAGACAGGTGGCACATATGAACAAAAATATAACTAAGTCATCTTCATCTTTCCTAAGCATGCAGGTTTTCCACTGGGATCACTTTCATATTCATATTCCACATATATATAATATATTTTCATACCAAAACCTAAATTTAAGTACAGCCCAGAGTGGTACCTTGGGAAAAAACGGCCCTCTTCAGAGTTCAAAGTGATGTTCCGGAGCAGGCCCGCCAGCTAGGAAGCGTCGTGGGCCAATCCCCCTGGTCTCATCGAACTTGGACTGTGTCCGGACCGGAGCTTGGGCCCAGTCCAGATCAGGACCTAAGCAGTGTTTACAAGCAGGACAATTGAGAATTTCAGTAAATCAGAAAAGATTAGCCATCATATGTGAAAGTAAATATTCAAATGTGTTTGTTTGTTAAGATGCAGTTCCGGGTTAACGAACCAAAAGATTTTATCCACCAATCTGTTGTCCTTTCAAGATGTATTCAAAGAACGAATGCTGAGGTATAGTTGCAGTGTATGTGCATCTTAACTCTATCAAACAAGCATCATATTTTTGCCCACAGAGATGACATAAAAGATACCACACATTGAAACTGAGTTAACGGTCATATCTAAGAACCTAAACCGCAATCATAAAAACGAAAACAGGAGAAAGTCCTCCCATCAGATAACACACTCATTCACTACATAGACCATAAATGAAAAAAAAAAAAAAAAA